TTTTTTTCATTTTTTACAAGTATTTTTCAATTCTGACAAACCTTGATCAACTCGTGGAAGAATTCAATAGATCGTTTAAAGAGAGAGATTGATATCTTATAACAACAATAAATTTTTGAACATTCCAACAAAAATTGTGACCAACTTCAACATACGTTGCAATATTTCAACAACATGCATATGATCCAATTGGAACAATACGGCTCTCATCACTGTGTTTCAATGAAGATTTTGAAACTATATCAAAATCTTGTTGCTAAATTTATCCAAACCAACTAATATGTCAAAAATCAATACTCAAGCAAATGATTACGCAAAATGCTATCTGGATTATATCAAGCTGATTACAAATCTTCAAGCACTTCAAACATGCCGAGCTTCAAAAAACTCATGCAAAAAAACACTTTGAGACTTAAGAAACCAATCGAAAAAGAAACAATGACGTTATAGACAATATTTGTGTGTTTATTCATCCGATTGATTCTCAAAGACAAGCTTGAATAAAATCAAAGGTAAATCAAACATTTGAAACTATGAAGAAGTTGTTTACAATGGTGCACATTCTAACACATTTTGAACTCTAAAAGTATTTGTTCTTAAAAATAAATGCATTTGATTTTGCACTTGAAGCAATGCTTTCACTATTTGACAAAAATGAACGTCTCCATCTTGTTGCGTTTCACTCATAAAAATTTACTACTACCTAGATCAATTATGAGATTCACAACAAGTAGCTCTAATTCAATGTTTAATTGTTCCAAAAATGATGTCATTTTTTCAAAGTAGCTTAATATTTGATCACAATCCGCCTAAATCACAAAAATCTTAAATTATTCATGTCTGCCAAGATATTGAAACAACGACAAGCTCGTTACAAGATATTGGTTTTGCGTTTCAACTTTGTCATCAAATATCACTCAAATTGGAAGCAAATTTGATTCAATGATCTTTTTTGACAAGCATACCTTGAACCCATGGAAGTAATTGCAACTTACAAACAACAAATATTTATTCTTATTAAGCATAAACAATTTTAGTCGAAGACGTTGCGCACCACGACTTTGATAAATTACATTTTTTCTCCAAGATATACGAGTAAGTTTAAAATCCAAATCCTTTAGACTTGAAATTGTGGATAAATTCTAGCATCTTCAATCTTAGAAGATATTTAATTCTAGGTCATAGATACAAAATCCTTGAATCAACCTACTTCCATTTCACAAGTTTGTAGATTTCATAATAATGATGTAAGATTCAAGTTTCAAAACATATTGTTTTACTACAATGGATTACTTTATGTACCTAAAGTTATATATTGACTTTTAATATTTCACTATTAACACAAATCTCCATTGAAATAACATTTTGGTTACATCATTCTATGAAGCAAATATTCAAAGACTTTTGATTGGTCTAAATGTGAATTATCGTGAAGAATTATGTCACGATATATAACAGCTGCTCTAGATTCAAGTTTTCAAGTCAACAGCTTATAGATTACTTCAACCACTAGTGTTTCAAAAAATCACATGGACATAAATTTCCATGGATTTCATTGTAGACCTTCCGAAGTTCAAATTTTCTAATTCAATTTTTGTTGCTGTGGATGAGAAGCATGACACACTTTGTGCATTGCAACAAGATTATCACATGTAAAGATTTAGCACAACTTTTTGTAGAACATGTGTATAAATATAATGGAATTTTCAATGGCATCTTTGATTGTGATTTGAAGTAGTTTGGTCCAAACTCTAAGAATCCCTGTTCAAGATCTTACATGTGAGAATTATATCAATTCATAGAGTCAAGAGTGCAACAAGATCTTTTCATCAAACTTTCAAAAATCCTTTAAGACATGAAGGCAAGACTTGTAGAAGCTCAAGAGAAATAGAAGAAAAATGAATATTTATCTCAAAAACAAAATTCAAAGACTTTAGTTGATGATAAAGTCTAGACTTTCCGTCGCAATTTCAAGACTTGCCAATCGAGGTACAAACTTGACTATCATCGTTTTGGATCTTTTTGCGTGAGTAAATAAGTCAATGAAAAAGCATACAGTTTAAACCTATCATCATATATGAAAATTCATGCAGTGTTTCATGTTTTTTTACTTGAATTGTATCGAGAATCAACTATTCCAAAACAGTTGCTAGCACCTTTGCCACCAATCAAGCTTAGGGAAGAAGAAAAATTTAAAATTACTAAAATCATCGAGTCTCAATCAAAGAAGATTTTAACATCTTGTTGATTGGCAATATATGAAGTATGCGAGCAAACTTGGAGACTTGTTGCTAATCTTGCTAACCTTATCAAAATGAGCAAAAAATTTCATCGTCAATACTTGATTAATTTGAGTGTCCAAGATAGTTGAATCCAACACGTTTGGATCAACATTGGCAATGAATTGGGTTGTAATCATTTAAATATCACCTAAACATTTTGTAATAGATTTTTAGTTTTCATTTTTGATGAGATGGATATAACAACTCGTGGATCTCATTATTTGTAGTAGATGTTTGAGTTTTTTTGGTAGGATAAATAGAATAACTTGTGATTATCATTGTTTGAGTAGTATGATGTCATGGACTTGATAGTTATAGTGACAATGCAAACTTTTTCCAACTAGAAAGCAATGTTGACTTTCCAACTCTTGAGTTTTTCAGTAGCTTTCTAGCAATATAAATAAGATACTCAGAACATTCACTCACTGTTGTCAACGCTAGTTGTATTTGCTATTTCAATATCAATACTACTTTCACCCTCCTTGAATTGAAAGATACTATTAATAGTTTTTTAAGAGTGAAACTAAATTCAATTTTCTCGGTTCAAGTGATATTACTTCCAATTAGCTTCTTGTGATATATCAAACCCTTTGCAACACTCATCTATTTTTTCTATGATTCTAGACATAGGATATAAATCTTTGGTGTCAAAAATGTGTGATAAGATTCAAAACAAATTTTTTTTAACTTTAATCAATTTTTTGGATCTTGGCATTAAATTGAGAGCTAATTAGTCTATTTCCATAATGAATTTTATGATGATAGATGTTAAAGAAATTCTCTATTACAATAAATTATATTTAAAAATCATGATGATAAAATAATGAAGTTCTTCTAGATATTTCAGGTTTTCTCACTTGCTTATTTTGTTATTAATATTGAAAGCTTATAATCTAAAATGACATTTTATCTAATCTTTTATACTTCAGTTTATAAAAAATAAAGGATGCATTATATGATATTTTTAGGTCAAGAACTTTAAAGCTGATTTTTATATGCTTGAATTGCAGTGTTAGCTATAAAATATATATTATTTTTACATCTTTCTTCATTTATTGATCAAATTTTGAAGAAAAATGATGAAAAGTGAAAATTTAAGAACAGCATTTTTAAACTTATTTCAGACATGTATACTTCTAAGTTGCATTGAATTTCTAATTTTTTCTGTCAAGAACATGTCATGTTCAAAGCTTGATATTTTCTGCACAAAAAATTTCAATATTGATTTCAATAAAAGTTGGAAATTGATATCTTTTACATTGTTTCAGTTGAAAGTATGAAATGTCTTAATTATTGAGTCAAAATTACATAATATTTATCACTATCAAAGATAGAATTCAATTAGTATAATTACTGTCAAAGATTTCATTGAGTTATGATGGTTGGATATTGCCATTTGCTAGCTAATGTTAACAAGGGTGCTAGTCTTTAGCATTTCTTGGCCTCTTATGCAAGTGATTAAATTTTTCTAACCTTGTTATGTGATTCCACTCAGAAAATTTCCCCTTTATTATCAACCATACTTCACATTGACTTTTGATTTGGAAAGTAGTAGGTGATCATTTTAGCAGATTCCTGACACATATGAATCGGTTATCCAGGGTTCTCTATCCAAATGCTTAAAAGAGTCATCTATGATGTACTCCTATCTTACTAGAAGATTCCAATGAGTGGGAGTTAGTTGAGTTATTGTGGAAAAGTATACTTTCGTCCGAAATATTTTTCTATACCTTGTGATCTCCTCTGATCATAACATTTATGCATACAGTTATTTTACGGAGAAGACCAGACTTACAAAAAACTGTCAAGGGAAAAAGTCAAAATACAACCAGCACAAGAGAGAGGAGAGAAGAAAACCTTTTTATTTTAATTTCAAAGAGCCAGTATATAGAAACATCCGGCGAAGAAGTCAAACGCAACATATTGTGGAAAAAATACATAGCTCATATATTTTTGGGTGATTCTGGTTTCTCTTCGGCGTGTCATCACTCGGTTTTCTTCGATGGGCTTTCCATAAGCTGCGATAAGATGACGTTTGCATGTTCCAATGCACCTTATGTACCACTTTATCCCACCACACAGTGATACATAATGTATTGCATGTCTGCATGTTCTGTTGCACCTTTGAGACCTAGCCCCATGTTTCCCTTTCGGTTCATCCACGTTGTACAGTTTTGGTCATGTACCATTCTGTCCGTCGTAAAAGTACTCATAATTTCAAAGCGGTGGCTCTGATCCCGATCCTGACCAAAACTGCACATGCCAAGTCTGGATGCAAGCAGATGGAGGGTACTGCTTAAGCTGGAAGAAATCCAAAGTATAGGTGCAATAACAAATTCGGTGACCGAGTGCTCTGGGAACGGGGAATCCGGTGGCGACTTCCAGCCAATTGCACACATGTCGAAACTGTATCACGTGGATATAGAGACTCTATATCCACGTTCCCATTTTCTTTCGGATATTTTAAGTGCACTAGGACATATACACATGGATGCTATTTTGGCTAGCTGCAGTACCATGTTACCACTTTAATGACATCCTTGTATTAATTGATTTGAGTTTGGATTCTTCCCATGTTTTTGGTATGCAACTGGGTATGAGGACTGATCTGAAGTCCTAGCTGTCATGAGTCTACAGAAGCCTGTTACGCCACAATCGTCATGAAGGCGCGGACAATCTAACACTCGTTTTCGAAAATCCTGTGTTGAAATCATTTGAAAGTCCTGATTTTGGAACAGTCTTATACACACCACGTTTCGCATGCAAAAGCGTTCTTCGAAATGATGTCGGATCCACTTCGATCAGCTGAAGCTTCTCGCAGCATGCTCCGGACTTTAGAGGATTCTCCGAATTACCAGAACCGCTAAATACCTTTGCCAGAGCAGAGGGAAGCAGGAGGTTCCTTCGAGAGCCTGCATGCCCAGTGCGAGACGAGCGAGAATCGTGTGCATGAAGAGCAGGAATGTGTCCGTCATAAACATGAGGCTACGGCAAGTTGCGAATTTTCCATCTTTCCGGTCATCTGCTTGTGTGCTGCTTGTTGCAGAGACTGGAATTCTTCTCGTGAGAAATGGCAGTCTACATCCCGAAAGTGGAAAGAAGTAGTTACGCGGGGTTCCTGAAGGGGGTTTCGACCAAAGAAGCGGGACTTGAGGACGAGAAAGCTCGACGTGGTTCGAACGGATATCACGTTCTCGCACCGCGCGGTGGATCCCGTCGTGGTTACGGAAGCGATGGGCATTTCTGGTCGCCGGAAGGACCGATGGGATCCACGTGAAGCGTCGGGAGCTCGAGGCAGGACTGCTGTCGGAAGCTGCTGCAGGTTCCTCAAGTTGCGCTCGCTGTCTCGTCTTTCCACAAGTGCGCCATGTCAGTGCGAGGGATCCTCGCGTTAGACCGATCCGATCACGGCACATCGTAGTGGCACGAGGTAGATGATGACGCGGCAGTACCGATTGGTATCAGCCGATGCGATGAGGTGCAACGACGACTGCTGCTCCCGTGCAGCGACGAGATCAGGGCCGGTTTGTCTCGTGACCCGATCCCAGAGTCCTTCGCGATACCTTCTGTCAGGAATCGTTTTCTCATTCTGTCTCTGACCCGGTATCAGGGTGCTTTCAGGTTGAATTTCGACCGTATCAATCGAGTTCTTCTCCTCTCTCTCTCTTTCTGTCTCGGGAGTCAAAGTGTGGGGTCAGGGTGCGTAGCTGTTCTTCGGGCACGGGAGGGAGAAGGGGATACGATCGCTGTCGCCGCTTTTCAGGTTGTCATGGTTGCTGTTTGGTGGGTTTGTGCAATTGGGAACGCATCGAATTGAATGCTCGTGGGCGGAGGCAGGTAACCACCAGGAGCGTTGATAAAGAGGGTCATAGCAATGATGATGCTTGGTTGTCCCCTGACTGGACTGTTCCTGGATCTTTTCTCAAGACGCACTTTTTCCTCGTAATTGTTATATGTTGTCTCGCACGAAAGGCTCGTCCCCATGTTTCGTGCCTTGGTGCCGTCGTTTCAAGAAAGTTTTCGAAATTCGAAAGCAAAAGAGCTTTCCGCGAGTAATAACGGAAATCTCTCGCTCGACGTATCGTTTGGTTCTGGGGAATTCTGTCGCGCAGGTGAAATCTGGTGGGGCAGTGGGCGGACGAACGGTTCTGTGCCTAACCCATCGGCCATACTGTCTCTGTATCTGCAGTTTGGCTTTCGCACCGCTGAGCATCTCCAGAACTCGTGTCGGGAGTCTACGGGGAATTACACCGGTTAGTTGCGAGAAAAGCTCACGCAATTTCAGGACGACTTCCAGTATCTGTGGCTGATTGTGTGGGACATTGAGAGGAGATGGAGTAATGGCCGGTCTGCCAAGACTTTGCATGCGTAGGTAGGGTATCTGTTCGGCAAAGTTGACCTGTGCTTTGTGAAACTCTTCAGCATCAAGGAGAATATCATGGCGACAGACCGACATTTTCCTAACACCCTAGCGGATTATAAACCCCTAGCGCACAGGGAAGAAGAATTGCCCGAGTCTCAATCAATCGGGCCCTTGGTTGCTTTTGCGTCAACAGCAGACGAGGATGTAGTGGTGAAGGTTCCGCCTTCATTCCGAGAGCATCTGTTTCCATCTCCAGAACTTTTCCTCAAGGCAGCGCTTGAGCTTAGAAACGAGGTTTGTTCCTAAGTATCTCTCAGCCAATTATGCAAATGTTCCGGTGCACTACTTTTTCTGTGCAGGGTATAGAGTCTTTCGGTCAAGGACAAGAATTTATCAGAAATATGTCTTCAACCACTTACAATTGGGGAATGTTTTTCGTCTCATGCTAGATCGGACTCTTGTCGTTAGACCATGTCAAAGTCTGCCGAAAAGCATGAATTATTGAGGACACAAACTTTAGTTGTTTTGAAACTGGTTTAGTAAAACATGCTTTTATTCTTCAATTCGAATGAACACTGGACGCATCGTATTGCCAACATATGCTACAGGTTGTACAGTCTACATGGAGGCGTAATGGCCCACGTGTAAACGATCCTACCATGTATGTGGGAGTGTTGGGGACTGCATTTTTGTGCTTGAAGGTGTACTTATCCACTGGGAGCGAAGATGATCTCGTTCAGTGCATGGATATCGTGGATGCCTGCTGTGCTGCAGCTCAGACGATGAGACCGTAAGGCTTTCTGTATCTTTGAATATTTGCAATTACCTAGTATGAGCTGCATGGCTTAAGATTGTGTTGCATGATTTCCTGGCAGCCTTGATTCGGTATTCGGCAGCCACCGAATTCAAATTCATCTTCATCGACCTTTTCGTTAATTATTGGAGGACGAAATTGCTCAATTTAGGTATTTGATTTTTCCCGGATGCATATTCTCTCTCGAAGCTGACGTTATGCTTACAGAATCTTGCATACTGCATGTGCAGATATGTTACATTTCTTTGCGGACAGCCAGGAATTTATGCTTTAGGTGCTGTTGCTGCGAAGTACAAGGGAGATGAGACTCGCATGAATCACTACCTGCGACTCTTTGATGAGGTAAGTACTTACAGCGCCAAATATGATGTTCTTTGATATTCCCAAATTTGCAGTCTATAAAATTTCTGCGGATTCCTTGAATCGTGTTGATGTCCCTTTGACAATGTTGTGTCAAAACTATCAAAACCTGCGTCCTCGTCTTCAATACTACTCCGTTATCCTGGTCCGTAACTTCAGTAAGGACTGCTTAATTGAACAATTTATTGCTGTTTCGTTCGTCTCGTGATACCATAACGACACAATGTTAATCCAAAGGGCATTACTCTGTTTTATAACTCGAGTATCTGGATCTCAATGAAACCTCATAGTAACACGATTGTGTACGTACCTCTCTGTCTCAGGTCTCAAATGAGAGAGCTCTTTCAGTCGGCCCAGCAGAGGGTGGGCTTGGAATGCCCTATGAACTTTTGTACGGACGAGCTGGCTTTCTCTGGGCAGCCCTGTTCATTAACAAACATGTGGGCGAGGAGACTGTTCCTTGGACCACGACGGTGAGGTCACCTGATGTTTTTTAGAAGAAAATGTCTTTCTAGGTTTGAAGTTTCTGAGGTTTGAGCTACTATGTTGGGCCGCGTTGTAGATGGTCTGCATGTGTGTTACCCCACACTGATTATGAAATATGTAACGACAGGGACCGATTGTAGAGGCAGTGATGCAAGCTGGACGAGCTGGAGCTGCTCAAACAAAATGCCCGTTGATGTACCAATGGCATTGTACACGTTACTGGGGTGCAGCTCATGGTCTTGCGGGTATCATTAACGTCCTTCTACATTTTCCCTTATCTCAAGATGCGGCAGATGATGTGAAAGGTGTATTGCGCTACATGATTAAGAATAGATTCCTGAGAGGGAATTATCCATCTAGCGAAGGCAATAACAGGGACAGACTTGTCCATTGGTGCCATGGTGCTCCGGGGATAGCTTTGACTTTATGCAAAGCTGCACAGGTTAGCTCCTCTTTGCCATCTTTCTCAACGACATGCTTTTCTGCAGACTTGTTCATTGACGCAAGAACATTCAGAATCAAAGGATAAAACTTGTGGAGTTTAATTATGTTATTGTATTGACTGCTTTGGTCGTGACAGGTTTTCCCTGAGGAGGAAGAATTTCGATCAGCTGCGTTGGAGGCTGGTGATGTCGTGTGGGAACGGGGTCTGTTGCGTCGCGTAGGATTGTGTCATGGAGTAAGTGGGAATGCCTACGTATTTTTGGCTCTACATCGTTTGTCGGGTGGTAAGAAGCACTTGCATAGAGCAAAGATGTTTGCAGGTTTCCTTCACGACAGAGCATTCTCCCTGATTTCTACTGGGGAAATGCATGGCGGTGACCATCCGCACTCGCTCTTTGAAGGATTGGCAGGGACTGCATGTCTGTGGCTGGATGTTGCTCAGCCGGCGAATTCTAGGTTTCCAGGATACGAAATTTAGACTTAGACCTTTAGAACTGGGGAAAAACTGTATTCTACTGAGTTAATGCGCCAAAGAAGTTGGCAGACGTCACAAACTTGACTAGATAAAGTAATTACATACATTTTTTAGAAAGGTGAGGACCCCAGAGGTGCTCAGGTGGAATTTGGGGAAATGTAATTAGTTTCTTTCTGCTAAAATACGAATGTAAATGATCCCCTCTCCACTTTAATATGGGGACGCGAGGTTGGATCCTCATAGTAAATGCAAAGTTTTAAGAATGCACTGCTCACCAACTTGTTGCATGGCTTTATATTAAATGACGTCTGTATTCTATTACCCGATCATCGAATTTGGCATCAACAAATGGCTTACAGCTGCAAGCTAAATGCGTGTCAAAATAGTGTGAACTTTGGTCACAAAGTCACGCCTTCTTGCAAAAAATCTGCGATTCGCATGGTTCAACACAGCAAAGATTCACTGACACCATTTTCTTTCAATCTTCAGCAAACGAACGTCATCATACTGGGTTGGGAAGAAGTGGGTGAAAGTGTCTTAAACTCCCAAAAGAATCTCTGACTTGAGACATTTCTCGTGCATTTAGCACCTGTGAAGTTATCAAATCCAGAAAATAGCAAAAGTATAAAAGTAGCCCATCAATCCTTACAAATGTATGAAATCAAGGAGAAATATATATTAAATGCAAGGACTGATCCTTGAAAGGTATATGGACCACCAAGGTCGCCGCCAACAAGTCCCGAGGTGAACAGTGTTTCCACAAGACCCCAATAGTGGCCGTACTCATACATGCCTATTCGTTATTCAAGCGGATAGGGTAATGAAAGCATCAAGCGGCATGACCTTTAACTATTTTAACAGTACCAAGTAAAGAATCTTTAACTAACTTCTTACATATGTATAACTTGACATATATTATAGAAACAAATGATCAAATATATTATAGAATGATTGATTTTATCTGCATAGCTTTTCAAAAATACGGCCCCAGTATTCCTGACCCTCTCAAACGATTACGATGTTTCAAACTTGACGGTCGGCGCACAAGCTTCTTATAGTCTTCATCATTTGTTTGGACTTCACATACCATTCACCCTCGTGTGACAGAAAAGTACATTCCAATCTTAAAAAAACTTCGTTTTTGGATTCTCCAAAGTCCACCCTGTTAAAGTAATCAAAGTCTAGCATTTGGTAGCTTCTGAGATATCATGTGATACAAAAGATTAATGTGTGTGATGAACTGACGTGGGTTATATCCTCAAGAGCCGTGTCATCAATTAAAACTCTGATGCAACTCTTGATGAGAGTTGTAGTAAATTTGTGAGGTGGAAATTTTGAAAGCAAGTTATTCCCTACTGCCGTAGATTTTAAAAGATTAGAAAGTTGAACATGCTTACATCTGGAGCTGTTGAAAAAACTTACAAAATCATGTAGGAGGGGACAAAAGTTCATAAAAAAATCGTAGGAAGGATGAACGTCAGATAAATATACAAAAGTAGGTTGCAATGGGATTGAGGTGAAAAAGTTGTTGAACTTCCACCGCGGCAGTGAATCTTTCCCTCTGCATGAACTCGATGTCGAACTCCATAACATCAAACTAACTTAGGAGAACTATATGTCATTTGGAGATATGTTCATGAGCACTTTAACTTTGTCTTGACTGTTGTAATATTAAACAGAGTTACGTTGGGTAGGACTTCTTTCAATTTGCGTTTTCCTCCAACAATATGTACTGTGTATATATCTTAGTTGTATTTGAGGAGTCGGTCAATGGAAGAATAGTTCCGATATATTTGGAACATTCCAGTGAGAAGGTCATGGCTATTATTTACTAAGTTTGAAGACACGTCTGTCTGTCAGTGTGCCTCTGATTCATTCTTCATTAACCTTTCGACCGCTGTCAGTGGATGGGGTTTTATAGCTCTGTGAATCGCAGTTGAGTGATCCATCCCTCAAGAAGTCTCAATGTGATTGAGTAAAAGTTCTACTTGAGAGTTTTTTGAGAAACAAATGAGATAATCGTGGCCTTCAAAAATACTGTTGGAATTCACAAATTCCAGTTCTAGAATTTCACAATCTGGACTATTTACAGACTAGTGCAGGAAGCCCAAGGTGGACTGGCTTATCAACAGTCAATTATAATATTTAATCATATGAATTCTCAACGCAAGAGATCCTACCAGAGTTCTGGGCCACCCTATTAGATTTATGGATGAAACCAATTTGCTTGAATTGCTTGATTTCTTTGAGCGCCGAGTGAACGCTTCGGTTAGGTCTGAACCCGTGGGCTACGTTAAGGCAATGCTCTCACCTCGAAACACACAGTTCACCGTGTTTGGTGCACACCTCCTCATGAAAAAGCATGAAATCAATTGGATTTAGACTGTTTTCGTTTCCTTTCAACATCATCCAACTGCGAAGCATTGTGCTGACCAATCGAACCGAACATTTGCTCATCGATCAATCATATCTAACTTCCAATTAATTCTTCACATTTCACCAGCCAAATACGCTATGCCTCCCTATCACCACCACATGATTCCTCAGGAAAATATCGGTCCACTTATGCTCTTAACAACAAGGCAATCAGTTCATGCATATGTGCTGGAATTCTCACTCAGACACAGTTCGTGTACATAAAGTAAACAGATCCGCGAAGCCTGAAAAGCTGGAGCTTGCGTAGGTTTGAGCCAAGTCGCGTCCAAACCAATTGGTTCGTGCATGTCACAAGTACTGTCGACCAAATTTCTCAGAAAGTCGCCGGAAGTTGTTATAGCAGTCGAACGATTGGGCAAGGACTGCCATTCTCATGTGACACAGAGGCCACTTCAGCCGCAGGGACGTGGGCTCGAGGAGATTGTGAGTGACGATCCCAATGCGGAAGGTCTGACATCGCCGAGCAAGGGCCGCTGACAGGCGAGATTGTGTGAAAGTCGGCACCAACAAGAGTGGATTGTCTTATCGACCCACGAGGAGGTGGCCGTCGTCATTGACGATGGAAAAGTTCGACACGGCTTACATGCTGACATAAACTTGGCTTGGGGGTTACAGCTGGAACCCCATGTACAGCATCCACCGATCGACCGTCCGATGCCTCTCGACGCGTTGGTCGCCATCGCTGCCGACGCTCTTGCAAATCTCCCTCCCGAGAACAAGCCTTTCGACGATCTCCCGCTCGGCCAGCGAGCTCGAGAGGCTGGCTAGCAGGCAGGCAGGCAGGGAATCGACCGTAGAGGAGAAGTAATGCTTAGCCTCGACGAAGCGCGGAAGGAAGCCCTGCTCCATGACGATCACCACCGACGAGAGAACGTGGTTCAACCGAAGGAAGAAGCTGTGCAGAGCCCTCAGCAGAGATCGATCAGCTGGTGGAGGTAGCTCCCGGAAACAATTGACAGGCAGAAATTCATCACGGCTGCAGATCCTCCATAATGTCCGTGATTATCGTGAACATGTCGGCGAATTCCAGCAGCCTCTTTCTGGTGGCCATCATGCCGGCGAAATCCGGCGCCGCTCCGGCCATCGCCGTGATGCGAAGCTGGGGCGGCCCGCCGTCGCTGAGGGCCTGGATCAACGACTACACTATCCGAAAGCGAGCAGACATGCCTGATTCGCGGTGAAATGATTGACGATCAAAATCGCGCATGAGGTTTAGAGGGCCTGGAACGCGAGCCAGGATGCCTCCGCCTTGGGGTAGTCGCCGAACCCGCCCTGGCGGCTGGCGCTGGGGCTGCCGTGATTCTGGTTCATGTCAGAGACCTTTAGGAAGACGCAATCGGCCAGAGCTTCCGTGATGTACGTGGGCAGTCGCTCCATGGAGCTTCCCATCGATGACAGCAGTTAGCTCAGCCTGCCCGCTCACCTCATCAGCAGCTGAACGGACCATCTCCACTCCGCACTTCTCCTCCATGAGCCTCTTGCAGCAATTGCCGTTGTTGTCGCTGCTGCCATCAGCGCGATGGACGGACTGCATGTTCAGGTGATTCACATTGATCATGGGGTCCTCTGGGCAGAGTAGGTGTAGCGGTCGGACATGTTGTCCGAGCACCCGACGAGATCACTGACGATTGGGATGCAATGCAGCCACATACCTGTCTGATCATCAAGTGATGACTGAGCTTCTTTTCCCCTTCTCTGCCACTACGCTCGCGATTTAGTGAGCACCCGAGAGATCTCTCGTCCATTGCCATTGCTTCGATTGCTCTCGAGCGCCTCAATTGCAACAACTTATTGAGGAGAGTGGGAACAGTTCCAAGATGCTACTTTGGTTGCTTTGCAAAGCTCACTCACAGTCTCTCAGATTTGTACAAGCACTTTAAGAGCCGGTTATATGAACCTGGGATTTCTGAGTCTGATTGGATAACTCGCCATATAATCTTTCTCTTCTGACTCAGGAACCAGAAACAAGTTCATCAGAGTCAGATCGATCGTCTTTCTATCCATTACCTTCCGCACTGGAAGCTACAACCACACAGCTCTGTTATGTACGCTTTCGAGCCGCCTCTAAGCTGATCCTACCAGTCGTAGAGCTGCAGCAGAACAAACTAGAACCCAAAATGACACAAGCAGACTGGAGGAGTGGTTCAGTATATGCCTACCTCACAGCACGTCATTCTGAGTGTTCTCACTCAGATCTCGGACGAATGATTCTCACCGCTGCTTACACCATAGACATACGTGCTGCTGCCAGCTGACTCCGAGTCTTACGTAAACGAGTACAGAAGCTCTTGCCTGCCACTGCGGAATCCTGCTCAGCATTCCAGCCCGATAGACTGTCCATGAACAATCGGAGTCTCCTGAGCCGTCGTCCATTGTCCCCGGACCTGGCTGATTGAAGAGCATCAAAATATTTAGAAACACAGTCAGTCGATCGGTCACGGTCACTGACCGGGGCCAAGACGAAGGAATATTAAGTCTGATCGTCGATGACGACTAGAGTAGCACGGTCTACATTCGTTGGGAGATAAGCTACATCTGAGATCACGATAGTTCTCTTGTTCAGGTCTGTGCGCGCAGGCTAACAGTGTAGACGGATCGAGGAGAAATAGACCAGCAGGGGAGTGTGGAAGAACCAGTGGGAGTGTCTGGAATCGGCAAGAGCGCAGTGAGGCTCATGGGATTGGTGGCGCCGAGTACGGAGACGCAAAAGCATGTAGATCTTCAGTAGAGTTCATAAAACTTGCAGCAGTAGGCAGCCTTGTCGTTGCTAGCGTCGTTTGAACTGGCGAAACAGGAACTTGAGCAGAGCTGCAAGAGGAGAGGCTACGACCAATAAGTGGATATTGGGGCCAGATTACAGATTTGCATAGGAAGGCAGCTAGGATCTAGATTCTCATAAAGTGCTTAGCTCTGGCTCCTCGTAACTCCAAATTTATCACCCTAAAGCTTCGTACCGTCCGTTTGCCCCATAGATTCCCATAAACATTTGCAGCAACTCATAGATTGCTGGTTTCTGAGGCCAGAATATATCAGTCAATATAATATGCACTGCACTGGGCCTGTCCACCCAAATGCTGGCTGTGGTTGCCCGCCCCTTACTCCTCCGACCTTTGGGCCGTCCGTCATCATTTGGTCCGCCGCACCATCTCGTAACCGAATGTTCAGACTCTGCCCGTCGATCAGCAATTCCTTCTGTTCTCGACAAGACTGCTGCTGTTGTTGCAAAAGCAGCCCGAGTCCCGGTCACCTCGCTCGTTGTTTCTCTTGCTTCTTGGTCAGTTACATCCTGGAGCCCCTAATTTCTCTGCCTCCGACTAGCGCTTCTGCTCTCTCCTGTTCTCTCTGTTACATGTTTCTGCCTTTCCGTCTTGCTTTCGTCCCCGCTCCGTCTCTCTTTCTGTGTCTGGCATTGCCCTGCCAGGTCCCACCACTGCTTCTCTCTGTTTCCAGCGCAATGTACCTCCCTTCAATGTCCACGAACATTTTCTTCTGTGGATAAAACTTCGCACGGAGCCCAAGCCAGAGAAGCCCAGCCCAGCTTTGTTTTAGAACCAGATTCACAACAGGCCAGAAGCTGGAAGCGCCGTCTAGGCACGAGAACAAATTGGGAGACTACACTACACGAGAAGGCCTTTGTGTCTGATTCTCCCTCCACTAAACAAAACGACGGAGCAAAGCGAGGTGTATTAAGGGCAGACGGCGGTCGAGACACCCGTAATGGAACTTAGTTATTTCTGTTTGTATGGCACTAAATCCCTCCGCAGTTGTTGGACCTTGTATGTATAATGATCTTCCTCGCACTGTCACTTGTCCAAGCTAACTGTCACTGCAGAGTGAAGACTCTGCACCTCCTCGCTCCACGTATCTGATCCCTTGATCGATTTTGTTCACCACAATTTAATCTAAACCCTAGACTCTATACGTTGCTTTTCATGAACTAAACGATGGTACTGAAAGAGAAAACATGGGAAAAAATTTGCCATCCTCCTTGTCGCATTTTGACCCATCTGAGAACTCTTCATACTCTCGTGGAATATATTTATATATATTCCACGTGAAAATCAACGTGGACACCCGTGAAGGTCCAAAGAAAGGAATTCCCGTCATTATCAAAGACCATAACATACTGAAGTTGATATGGAAACTCAGAGCCAGCTCGAAATTGAAAGCTCTAGTAGAAACAATTCTTCTGCGATGTGGAGAATGATGTTCAGTATAAGATAGTGATGGTGAAGCGTTACACGAGCTGTGCACCTTCTTCACTTTGTATGCTGTCAGCCGCTGTAAATAGCAATCTAACACAACTTTACGAAGAAAATATGCTGGATTTTTAAACATTAGATATATAAGTGTTTTTCTTACCCAACTGGATAGACAAATTAAGCAAGCTGATTAATAACGCTAGATAAGTGTATAGAATAACATAAATCTGTGGTGAATGCACATTCAAACAAGCCTGTGACTTATATTATGAAAGTGTGATAATATTTAATCAGATCTTTTAATAAGATGGAAATCATAATCTGTCCATGGTGTTACGTCTGGCTATGAAGAAGTCTCATTAGAAAGATTACCATAGCTTTGTACAATTCTTGACATCGTTTCCCGAGTGTTGATGCTTGTTCTTGTAGTCAAGTGAAGTAGTCAGCAAATATCATCAGTTAGCCTATATATACTATATAACGAGCTCAGATGTACTACAAATTTCTGCTCTGAAGGAGGGCCCCTAGAAAGTTGATGAGTATCTAAGAGTCTTAACCTAAGAGTGTAATACTGAAGCAACAATTTGTGCAAAGAAAGAATTGAAGTGTGCAGCGTAGCCTAAAAATATATGTAACTTTGACGAAGAAAAAATGTTTCAACGAGAAGAGCAGCATGTGATGTCATTAAAAGTCAATGTATTAGTTTTATATCATCCGCACGGACGCCTCACAATCAATGTACATATTACGTACAGCAGTTAGTATAGATGAAAAAGGGGTTTTCTATTATTTTATTGCTTTGACCAGTCAATCAGAGTACTCGTGTGTTATTTCTCATTCTACTTCCAATTCATAGCCAAGAGTTTGCTAGACGGTGTGAGATTGAGTCATAAATGACCCTCGTTGTCGATGGAAGTGCTATATCGCACATAAGACTTGCTGAGGATTGGAAAGACATGCCCACTATCATCTTCTAATTATAAATATGAACTATAATTATGAACTTTGTCTTAGTTTACTCAATTCTTCAGTAATTTCTTGTAACCATCCTCCGTAGCTTGATATGTACACTCTTCCAACTCTCCTTCTCTGTCATCGGTGAGGTTTTTTGGTGATAATTATCATTTACATGTGGTTCAGCTTTTTCTAATATATCGAGAGTACCATATACTAGACAATCCGTATCTTCTACATTTATGTGTACTTTGTGCAAGTTTTTAGATTGCCCATACTCTTATTAACAACAAATCTAAACACACTATTTAGTGGCATATCCAAGTTGTTGTGGTATTATGTGTCGTCATGTAATTTACATCACTAACATGTCATATATATATATATATATATATATATACATATGCACACACACAACTGTATCACAACTGAAAATATAAGTGTAAATTTCAATGATTTCAAACACAAAGATTCATATCAATTTGAACCAAATTCATTTCACATCTCAGAGTTTACAGGTCGAACCTAACAGGACACCATAACTAACTTATTGAAAATTATTCTTTCTGCAAAAGGCTCAAGTTGAAAAATTGACAATTTTTGGAGTATGCGTGACTAAACTCTCATACAGTAGTGACATAACCTAGGTTCTACCTAAAGTTGACTCAACTAGAGTTATCCTAACACAATGTTAATAATAGACAACAGGTTTATGCATGACAAACTTATTGTTGTCTTTACCAAAGTTTTTTCATTTTGGTACTGTCTTTACAAGCATTAAAATCATCAAAATGTCACTCTATGATCTATTAAAGTGATATGAATCATTTAAAGCCAAACGGCTACAAAATGTTCCATGATATTGATAAACTTTGATACAAAATGGCCCAAAGTGATGATAAAAAATTCCTACAAATTGGTCTAAAATGATCCAAAATGGTGACCAAATATTGTACAAAGTAATTTGAAGTGATGATTTACTGATGATACAAAATGATTCAAAATTGTGATAATTTTTGATAAAAAATGATGATAAATTATTTCTACAAAGTGATCACACAAGTGATTCAAAATAAAGATAAATTTTGAATTTTTTTTGTTGAAATATAGTAAAAAATAAAGGTATAATACTTCTACAAATTGATTTATAATGATAATACAAAGTGATTTAAAATGGTGATTAAATATCGCTGAAAAAGGATAATACAAAGTGATAATAACATTTGGATAAAAAGTAGTTCAAAATGATGATAAAATATTGCTACAAATTAATTCAAAATGATATTGCAAAATAATTGAAGTGGTGATAAAAAATTGCTGTCAAATGATCCAAAATGGTTAAAACAAATAGAAATATATGTTAGGTTGTAACTGGCTGTTAGTTAGGATTCGGTTGGCTGTCTGTTAGATTTTGACTTTGACTATTAAGCTACGGCGAGACCGTGCTCTTCAACATTATCACAAAAGCTTGTGTTTTTTGTGGGAACATTGAATTTTACTGTCACTGTTAAAGATGTCAGTTTTGTTCTCAGTACAATGTAATCATAAGTCTAAGAGGATGCCACTGAACCCCACTAGTCAAGAGAAGTGAGTTAGATTTAAGAGTGAAATTTAGATCAAGGAGAAATTTTGAGTAATTTTTACAGAGCTTGAAGGATTTTTAATAATTTAATTTTATCGTCAAAGGTTCAATATACGATATGAAGGTTTAAGACTAAAATTCTACATGTTTAAACTAGTTTTTGATGCAATTTGAGTTGATACAAAATCATGATCATAAATTTACAACTAGATTTAAAAACTTTATAATTTTTTCTGCATGAAAGATTTTTAAATTAAATTTCATAGATTTGAAACTTGAATGAAAATGCACTTTCAAATGAAATTTTGATTTGATTCAAATGACAATTTGAAATTTCTAACATGTTTGTACTTCGAGATGAAGAAAGCTTTGTGATTGATTGAATAATTGATGAAAATTGAGATTTCTAATACAAAAAAGATAAGTTAAAAATATAGTTTCATGTGAAAATTTGTCCAAAATTTGATAATTACATCAAAGTATGTCATTATTTTGTCTTACAAAATCAAAACGTATGATTCACACGTAATATATATTAAGGTAATGTTTTACAGTCAAACTTAGAAGCTCTTGATACATATGATACATATGGTAGATTTGATGTGATTTTTTTATGATATTTTAATTTAAATCACAACATTATTTTCAAGACAAGTCAAGAATATTCATGCAATTGAAATTTTTGAGAGTTCAAAATATAGAGTTTAGAATTTTTTAGGTTGTAAAAGATAACTTTAGAGTTTAAAAAACTTGAAATGTTTCTACGTTAACCTAATATTAACTTGGATGAAAAGTTAGTATTACTTCTTGAGAGCAAGATTGAATAAGAAGATTTAAGAAGAAGTTGGAAGGATTGATAAAAGTAGCAGTGAAAGTGGTGTGATAGTAGAACATCTTCAAATTGTTGTTCTTTTCAATCATAACTTGTTACTATGCAAATAATTCTAGCTGCAACCAACCAGGTTCTAATTATGAGTTGATACAAGAAATGTATCTGTTAATAGTCAAACAAAGTTGAAGATCAAATTTGTTATGTAGAAAGAGAGATATGGAAAAATATCTCTCATTCTACATAACAAAATTGATCTTTAATAAGCAAACATATGCTCAGCAATTTATATAATGTGCTTACGCTAATTATACATGAAAAAATTTAGAAAACTTCTTAAGATAGATAAAATTGTGTTTAGTTTCTATTTTTTACTTTAATTCATCAAAAATATGGTCTTATATCATAACAAATATAAAATATTTATAAGGTACATTTCATGTTTATCGTATGATATAACTTTGATTGAAATTGGAAAAAATCATTTTAGAATAATAAAAAAATATCAAACACAAATGATCAATTTCAACACAAAAAATCTTAATATTTTGAGTTCTAAAATTGAATGAAAGAATTTCACACACAATTATAAAAATAACAAAAGTATTCTTTTGAAAGTAAAAAAAATATATTTAAAAAAATAATTTAAATATCAATAATGATTTTAGAAATAAAATTAAAACACGAAAATTTTTAATTTTTTTATTGATCCATAATAATATCAATATGTTGATAAGGAATGAAATATTTTAAAATTTGGGTAGTTTTCTCTATGAACGAATACTTGTGAGGACCTTCAATACAAAATAATTGCATATTGAAGTAGTATTTATGCTTTTATTTTGAAAATCTGATATAATGAATAAATTCTTGCAAAAAATATTAAAAGATTTTAATTATAAAATTTATGATAAAAAAAAGGAAAATAATAATTGTAAAAAATGGCATATTTCACTCTAAGCAACAATAGCATCCATAGTGGAATTCATGAATTTTTTGAGTTTTGAGTTCAATTTTATTTATATGTTACACAGCATAATTTGATAAATTCATA